GATATTGAATTTTTATTTTATTTTTTGTTTTTTTTTTGTTTTTATGAATAAACTGATTTTCGATAAATAAGTTTTTGTTTGTTTTTCTTTGTTTTTTTTCTGAAATTTCACGTGTATGTTATTGAGTTAAACGTTGTTTTCTTTTTTCTCTTTCCTCTTTTTTCTTTAATTTCAAAAATTTTTGAAATTTTTTACACTTTTTCGCTTTTAGGTATGCCATAATAACTCCTTACTAAAAAGTTAATAAACTAACATCTGAAGAGTTTCTTGTTTGTTTAATAGTTCGTAATGTAGATTATGGGTAGATTTTTGTATAATTTTTATTTTCGCATTTTTTTTCTTTTACTTAAACTTAAACTTTAATTTCTTTACATTTGTTGCTTCTTTTAATAAATATTAATTTGGAGATTTTAAAAATCTGTTTGTGTTGATATATATATTTTTAAAAAAATTTGTAAATAAAAGTATTTAAATAAAAAAACAAGTTCATTTTTTATATTTGTATTAAAAGCAAAAAAGAAAAAAAAAACGTAAACAATATTTACAGAAAGTCATTCAAGAGCAGCCAAAAATATTAAAAATAAAAAAAAAATATATTAAATTTGAAAAGATATTTGCAAAATAATGTATAAAAACATTATTATAACTCCGTAGATATTTTCTCTGCTCCAATTACGGGTTAAAAAAAAGAAAGTCATTATTTCCTGTTATATTAAACGTAATACTCAAAAAAGGATTTAAAATTGTTTGTTGTTTGACGTTTATTTCAACTCTTTTTTTTTTTGCTTTTATTTATATTTAATGATAATTACAATTAAAAGTATAAATTAAACTGGTGGGTTCTTGATTTGTGTGAAAAATGTGGTCACATTTTTTTTTTTTCGTTTTTTCTTTGCAATAAATTATAAATAATTTGTTTTATTAAATCTAAAAAAAGAATTTTATTTAAAATAAAATTTTAAAAAATTATTGAAGAAAGAAAAAAGTTTATGATTTAAGAAATACTTTCTAAAAAGTCTCTGACTTTTGTAAGCAAGAAGAGGATTTTGTTTATTAATTAAATTAGTACGAAAATTATTAAATTAATTTTGTATTAAATTATTTTAACAAAACTTGTATAAAATAAATAATTTTTTTTTTCACTACTGAAATAACTTTTTTCATTGTTTTATAGAAACAAAAGTATTTATATATATATATGTATATATATATATATATACATATATACATATATACATATATATTTTATTTTAAAAGTAATAATAAAAAAAAAATTTATATAAATTTAAAGCTTTGGTTTCCATTTGTTTTATATTTTTAAACATTTAAAAAACTTTTTTCAACCTTTTCAATTAAATAAAAAGTTGTTTTTATATTCTATCAAAAGAAAAAAAATATTTGTTTTTGGGATCAATTAAATGAATAATTAATTACAGAATTTATATATATTTTTTTTTTTTTTTGCTGCAAGAGTTTTCAACAAAACCATTGGCACATTTTATTTTGATTATAATAAAAAAGATTTTCAATTTATTTAAATGTACAAGAAAAAAGAAACGATAAAAATTTTAACTTAAATTCGCTTCAGGGAAAGATGATCTTACGAGATTGATTTAGGAAAAAAAAATATAACGAGACTTTTTTTTTTTTGCTCTAAAACGGATCTTGGATACTTGGAATTAAAAACAGTTGTAGGATGAGAGGTCGATAGGGTTCTAGTCTCTAAGCGTTCGATTACCGTTCTAATTTTGGGATTGTTAATGAAAATAATTGGAGACTGCAAAAGCATTTGCCCGATTTCCGTAGACGGCACACGCACATGCGTTCGATTGTGCTAAAGATTCCTTTCATTTTTATGAACATTTGATTAATTAACAGTTACTTAAATGCCTCATGTGAACAAGTATCGTCTTTGGAAATATAGTCTACTACAATAAATTTCTACGCAGAATTAATATTGCATTGGAATAGGAAGTGAAAATTACTTACTATAAGTTGATAATAGAAAAAAAGTAAAAAGACTATAGCGGGCCGCGATCAACAATAAAACACCTTATGCCGCTTAGGTGTTTATGGCGAGGAGGCCAGTAATTTTCCGATCGGAAGCAATTTCAATAGCGTTCGTGCTTTGGCCAAAGCATGTCAGTGCAACAAATTTCATCAAAACTTCTCAAAAATTGTGGACTATAGGTTGAGCACAAGAAAGTAGGACGTCCAGGCAGACAGACAGACATGAGATATAAAAAAAGTTATGTCTGCCTCAGAGCCTTCTGGGTGTAACATACGTTCGAACAAACTTAATACACTTTTGTGCCGCAAGTGGTACGGGATCTTGGAATTAAAAGAAATGACGTAATTCAAGGTTTAGTTGTATTGTATTCTTGCTCTTAGGGTAGTCAAAAATCATGTAACCATTTTCGAAATGGTAATTGAAACATGAGAGATAATTGACATTATCTATTATTTAGTGAATAATAATTCAAGGATTATTGGTAAGATTAAATAGTGACAATTGAGTCACATTAAAACTGAGTGTATTCCCACACGTTCGCAGAAGGAATTTGCAATGTTTTCATATTTTTTCGTTCCTCTGTTCGTATCCTGCCTGTGTCTAAGCCTAGAAATGAAAGAAGAAATACCTAGCGATTGGGGTTTGGGCTGAAAGTTAGGAGCACATCTTTTCAGATATTTTCCGTTTAATATTAAACAGCCGGATATGTATACGTCCGAACGAAAAGGGTTGAACTGATCTCAAGTATTCATACATTTTGCAAGAACGCCTAATTTCTATGACTAAAAATACAGAGTCCTTAAGCGTTCTTCTTTTTTTTTTTTTTGCATAACGGAACCGGTGGTAGTGGTAGTATAAAGGAAATGCTACAATCAGTATGCGTCTATACTTTTGTGGCTACGCCGTCACTCTAACAGGAAATGAGAAAATCCATGCACTTGTGCTACGCTGCAGCCGTAGCAGCAATCTGTTTTGAAAATTTACGGTATTAGCGGGAAACTAGTTCATTGAAGGGAAACAAATTAATAATAAAACCCTAACAGCCAACGCAATTGCAAGCTAGACAAATGCAACGAACAGGCAGCTACGCTATGAAAAGGTTTATTAACGGGATGGGCAATAAGAGGCCCCAAGGAATCTTTCAAACTTGAGTGTATAGATTCAAGCCAATTTCGCAACATGTCAACCATGTCTCTAATTGCTAATTTGCGCTATTTTAGCAGCACACATTCTTGGCGGAGTATTAATCGGTTAAGTTTCAGGGCCATCCCTGTGTTCTTCTGACAGTTTATATCAAATCAGTTGTTCGTTTCCGATATTTTCAGCATTTGCATCAAAAACTTTTTTCCAACATTTTCTACATATTCAAGGCTGAAATTTTTTTTTGAAGTTACATTTTATGCAGCCCTCTCAGTGATATGTAAATATAAAAATGAAAGTATTTCTCCTTCTTCCCCAGTAGAAAAGGTTCAATGTGAACACAAAGCTCTTTATCTAAATCTTTATGAAGATGGCCGTTAGCCTGATTGCAGATGTACACATGCACATAGTTTTTGTGGCACGCAAATCTGACAATTGGCTACCGAAAATGTTGACATGAAAAAAATTTTACGTAGAGTGTTACTAAGCTAAGAAAACCAAACTTTGCGTTTGGGTAAACCTGGGTGGTTCAAATCAAATGTTTTTTAAACGCAGTATTATATTTGTGGAGGGAAGCGGTTTCAATTACATTTTTAATTTAGTAAAATTTTTTGTATTTCCTTTATTTATATATGATGAGCAGAGCAGAAGCGCCTAAGCTGTATATGCTCCTTTCAATGCTTTGGATTCAAACCATTTCCTTACAAAATGTTTTATTAAAAAATTTTTTATTGTTATTATTATTATAATTCAGGTAGGAGGAGAAATAAAATCAAAGACTAAAGTACTAGCATATAAGACTATCTGTGTTATTGCAAACTCAATCGAACGTGAGATTTGACCACCGCCACCATCGAGTTGTTAGTCGAGATCTTTTGCCTGTCGGGCCCCTCAGGTGATCATGGGATCAAATCTCAAATATGGTACAGTTCTCTTTATTGATTCTTGTATTTCTTTATTAATAAAGTCAATAGCCTCAGATACACCAGTGCTTTAAGACTTTAGTCTTTCAATTTATATCTCTGGCTAGATTAATTATAATAATAATAATAATATGCATATTTTTTAAGAGAGAAACAAGAAAAAAACAAGAAAAAGCATATTAATGTAATAATAAAATAAATAAAACAAAATAAATGAAATAAGTGAATAAAAAAGATGGAAAAGAAAAATTTTACTATCTTTTCAATTGATTGATTAATTCTTTCAACGATTATCTTTGTGAGGTTATGTTCATAGGCTTTTTTAGGCTACGATCGTGACTTTCCTCTTTGTATGGTTAAATGAATTTTCATCTCGAAACTCTTATTTTTTTTCAAGCCTTTACTTGCAACTGCTTAATTTGTTGAGGTTTAAGCTAATACAGAGAGATGGTGAGAGGGCTTAAGCATCTTTTCTTAATGGTATTTTTATTTTCCTTTTTTCTTTCTTATACAGTTTTTAAGGTAAAAACGGTTTTTTTTTTTTTTTAGTTTTATAAACTCAAAATTGTTATGTTTGTTGGTTTTTCGATTTTTCATAATTTTTACAATTTCACAGTTCATGGCTAAGATCTATATATAATATCGCATTGGGGTTTTTTTCTTGTTTTGTTATGTTTTTTTTTAATTTTAATAGTTTTTTCTTTTTTTTTCAAAATTTTCGTTTTAAAAACAAAATATTTTTTTTAGGGAATTTTTGTACTTACATCTAAAGACACAAAAAGTTAATGATGCGCTAATTAAATAATTTTTATTTATGGTTATAATATAAAGCTTTTAAAAAAGCAAAGCTTTTAAAGTTTGCAAAATTTATTAAAAAAAGAGAGTAAACAGAACTCCTTCCAAAAAATTACATAAGAATTAAGAAAAAAAAAAAAAAGTCTAAAGATAGAGAGTATTTTGCATTAAAAAAATATTGAAAATTTGTTTGCAAAATTATTATGCCGAGTGTCAAGTTGGTGTTGTCTTCAAAGCTGTACTGCGAAAGTTTTCTTCCTTTTCTTTTTTTTTTTTTTTTTTTTTTTTTTTTTTTTTTTATGTATTAGTCTAATATTGGCTTTTTTTACGAGTGAAATAATGAAATTTGTGATTATTCCTTAATTATACATATTCCTGTTTGATTTCTATGTCATTGTTCGTTGTAGGCGTTTGTTTTTTGCTGGCTTTTGTTGCCAGCACAACCGTGGTAGTAGCAGTAGCAGTTGGCGTAGGCGGAACTGCTGATAAAATTTTGGAAGCGGAATTTTTTATGACAGATTTTTTCTGTACGTAAGCTCCCCCATGCTGCCTCTTATCTTGATGGTTATTTGTATTATCCTTATCATCGCCTTCGGCTTCGTTTTCTGATATAATATTATTGTTATTGTTACGGTGACGGTGATAATTTTTTTCCCCTCCTTCCTCTCTACTTTCTCTATTTTCGGTGTTGACTTCATCATTCATTTTGGCCAGAGCGTTAGAGGCACTCATTTGGGCTTTTTTCATTGAAGTCTCGTCACTACTGTTACTACTGTCGAAAAGTTGCCCAGCCGTAGCTGCTGAATCAGGAGATAACGGTGTGGTGGCCGTTGGCGGTTGTCCTATGCTCTGACAGTGTGGGGCTTGTACATGATTTGGAGAAATTGGTTCATCATTGTCATCTTCATCCTCGTCTTCATCTTCGTCGCGTTCCCCTTCGCTATGATCTTTCTGACTGTTATAGTTTTGTGAGACCTTGTCTTCTTCGCGACGTTCGGCACAATAATTGTGTCGGTGATTCGAAATTTTGCGACGATTAGCTGATGAAGGATCAGTCATGTCTTGGTCTTCCATTTCTTCTTGTTCGGAATCAGACGCGCTAGCTTCGTTTTCTTCTGTAGGTTTACGCGTGCTTTCTGCTTGATCTTTCCCTAGTGTCAGTTCCTGTATATTCGCCATTTCTTCATCTTCTTCAATATTTTCACTAACCTCCCGCTTTATACAATTAAGCTGTACATTATCATGCTCCCTTTCCTTGGTAACATTGTGTTGATAAAATTTTTCTTGTTGACAATTGTTTGTCTGGCAATAATCACGCTCCATGAACAGTTCACCATTCTGATTCGAATGGTTAACAATTCTTTTATTTGTTTCATTCGAAATTATCTCGTACTTTCCAGGTTCACGACGTTGTGATTTTTTCAGTGGAACTCGTAGAAGCATCTGTTCCTCACTGTTCTTAAGCACCTGTTTCGCAATTAAGCCATTACCATGCGTGTGATTTAGCTGAAGTGAGTCTAGCTGACGTCGACAAACTTGCAAATCGTGATTAAGTTTACTAATCTGTTCATTTCGTAACTCAAGCAACTCTTTGAGTTGTTGATTTTGAATACGATAGTGTTGATTTTCATTTAAAATTCTTTGCAACATGTTTAGCAAACGTCCGCGATCTTTGGGACGTGAATCTCTTAGCGCTTCCGTTGCCAAGTCCCACGGTGTTAGACTATTGCTACTATCAGGTTCGCCATCATTAACACTTTCATCATCCGTGTCGGTAGACAATTCGAATTCACTGTTTATCATTGCCGAGCGACCGTTTGGTGGCGGATGTGCTGGAATTTGGTTTGTGTACGCATGCGATGAAGGGTGAAAATAAGATTTACTATGTTGAGCTGTTGTAGTCAGCGTAGCATTTGTGCTTAAATTAAGACCCGTATTACTGTTGCCGGAAGACTGTGTAGGTGAAGGCGATTGTTGCTGATTCTGTACGTTGTGGTGATGATGATGATGTTGCTGCTGATGCTGATGATGGGTGGGATGTGTTGTCAACGGTTGATGAGGCTGATGCTGATGGTGGTAATGCTTTTGATTTTGTTTGAAATATTCATATTGCTGTTGTTGCTGTGATTGATGAAGATGTTGATTTGGTGTTGTAGTAGTTGTAGGTGGGGGAGGTGTAGGAGATCTTAGTATATTGTTTTGATTAATTAAATTTTTGCTGATGCGTATACGTCCAGTCAATTCGTTGTGATTGTTATGATTAGCACCGTAGCTAATAGCTGCCGAAGAGGGCAATAATTTATTGTGGTGATTTACTGTTGCTATTATCGTTTGAGCGTTGTTGAGTTGAGGCTGTTGCTGTTGTTGAAGATGATTGGGTAACGGTGAGGTTGATGAGGTGATTTCATTAGATCCGCCGAATTCTTCGGGTGTACTGCGTGGATTACTGCAATTGGAATTATTACAGCTCAAAGCAACGGTAGGCGATGGTGATTGTCGCATATATTGCTGTGGAGGCAAGCCTACCACATGTTGGCTCCTTTGTGGCTGTGCGTGCTTTTGGTTGCTACTAGTGTGACTGTGGGCCTTCGGATGCAGGGCAGGTTGAGGTGGTGTTGATGAACAGGTCGACGATGATGACGAAGAAGCTGATGCATGACGTCTTGGATGTTGTTGATGTTGAATTGATGATGATTGACTACGATTTAAGGCTAAGGGTGAAATCATGGATATGGTAGCTTCCTCTCCAAGAGAATCTGCATGGCTTTGCCTTTCGTCACCATTTGTGTGACCCACAGGCGGGGAAATTGAGGACATTTCAGTGGGCGTTGGTGCCCGTTCCTGTTTTATTTGTATATCGGTGTCGCAAACAACTACACTACCATGAGTAGTGTGAATGGCTTTCTGTTGTTGCAGCTGTTCGTGTTGGTGTTGCTGTAGATGCTTTCTTTGCAGTTCTCGTTCTCTTTCCAGTTCTCTTTCTCTCTCTCTTTCTCGTGAACGTTCACGCTCTATTTCTCGCGCTCGTTCTCGATCAATTCTTTCACGTTCACGTTCGCGGAATTCGCGCTGCTCTTTTTCACGGTCTTGCGACAAAATGCTTTTACGAGGAGCCAAAGCGACGTTCGGTTGATAGGTGCGCTCGAATCTTTCGCGATCGCTGCTACGCACCACACGTTCCGGATTCTGCAATACTGGGGGTTCCTGGCTCAGGTACGGCAGTGTCGAAAGGGCTGCTGCCGTAACCGCATTGTAAGCATGTTGAAAAGTCTTAGGTTGCGGCCACGGCCGAAAGGCGGACATCTGATTGGCGGCTGCTGCTGCAACCCTTTGTTGTTGAGCGCAATGAGCGCTATACATGAGCGACTGATAATGTTGATACTCAAGCTGGTATGCGAGAGCCTCATCGAGGCTTTTTGGTTTCTTTGTTGTTGGAATGTCAGGCTGTTCGTTACGATGCTTGACTACACTGGCTGGAAGAGGTTGATGAGGAGGCGGTGGTGGTAGACCGAGTGCTGGCACCAATATTGTACTTTCCAGGTGCATGTCAGCCTACAAAATAAAAATTAACAATGTTCAAATGAAATTTACCAAATATTTTGCAACGACTGTCGTCTTCGATCTAAAAAAGTAAAGAAATCGCAATAAGTAAAGAATATATAAATCAAATAACATGTTCGAATTATTTGATCTGAATATCGATGGACTATTTTCACTGGTTTCAGCCAATATTTATAGCCTTAACTCCAGCGTCAATTGTCATATTATAAATTCTAAGTTCTACGTTCAGTTTAAAGGTATATTAGAACCTTCATTTATATATGTATATTTGTTCGTTATCATTTCCTTGATCCAGTTTGGAAGGAATCACTTATGGTCTAAGGGTAAAATCACCTTGTGCCGATGTATACGACACCTAGAAGAGCTTGACGTAGGCGCAACTTTTATTATATCGATCGTTTCACAATCAGTCTCAAAATAGATCGATCTAAGCTTGTTTGCCCGTCTGTCATGTAGTCTTTTATTCAACCTGCAATTTGTAACTTTTCAGATATTTTGATGAAGTTTGACACATCGATGTGTTTTGGATCCAAAGACAGGCGCTATTGAAAATGGTTCGAATCGTTTCACTTACTTGTTTCCATTTGAATATGCATATACGGGATTTTTGAATTATTGTTCACTGTTTCCATCTCAAGAAATGGCAGAATAATGTTTTCAAGATTGGCTTTTGCAGACTTCTGCGTTCTTGATTGCTTTTGTTAGGCAATCAAACCGCACTTTTTATGGCTTAATTCAGATATGAATACGCTCCACTCCTATTCTAAATTATCAAGAAAAGTGTTAAAATTTTCGATAAATACGAGAAGTACAAGAAAGTAGATATCATACGAATTGAGGTATTTGCAGCTTGATGAGCTAAACATTTAACGGTTTGATAAATAAAGAAAAGTTTTAAACATTTTTTCCCCCTTTCTTTAGCGCCAACGTTATTAACTTAATTGATCGTTGAAATGAATGGTGTTAAATATTTGAAACTCTAATGCTTTCTATAAGATTTTTTTTAAAACAATTTTTGTGGTTAAAATTAAAAGCTCAAGTATGTGTTTTTGTTGTTTCTTGTTTTCGATGAAAGAGTTGGAACATAAATTTTCAATGAAAATTGTTAGAAAAGAACGTCCGTTGCGATTTGTGTTAACAAGCATACATCGGAGCAATACTACTGATGTTTATGACTAGTAGAATGGTTGCCACCATTTACTAAAAGAAAAGAACGGCTTTTAATCGCTGACAATATTGGCTAAACGAATGGCGACACTGAGACGTTATGGTCCAAATTTACACGCGCGCTTGCTCACAATTATTGTCAATAAGCAAAGAACATGAAATGACGCTGATGACGACAAGAGAATGAAGCTGACGAGACTATATAGTAAGTAAAAGATACAACAAACGCACCACAACATTGTATTTAGATGCATGCATTCATTGGCATTTGAATTTTTGCAAGTAGACACAGTGACGTATAGAAAAAACCAAATCAAAGAACTAAATCGACCGACAAGCATGTATATCACTAAGGAAATTATGCAGGTTTGTATGCGCGCTTACACCGTTTAGCGAATAAGCACAACGGGAACATTATGCTGAGCCAAAAAAAAAAAAAAAAAAAACAGTCACAGCAAGATATCGTCGTACACAAACGACCCATTAAGAGGCATAATCATAAAATATCAAGACACTGCTCATAAAAAGTGGTAACTGCAGTCACAGCAAACAACATTTAGCACATTAATGGTTGGCGGAGAAGAAACGGAGCGTGCTGATGATGATGTTCAAGATAATGATAACGACGATGATGATGATGATGATGATAATGATGATGACGATGATGATGATGGTTAAACAAGTATAAATGTATGTATAAGCACACATAGACATAAACTAATGTAGCATTTGCAACAATGTGCAAGAAAATCTTGCAGGCATGTCGCGTAAAAAGAGTCAAGGCTGACAAGATCTACTGGGGGCCATGCACATGCATACATTTGGTGCATACGTCTGTTTGTCCTTTACACATTCACGTACAGACAAGTAGTTGAAGCTGTTTTTTGCCTGTATATATATATATATATATATCCATTTATTTGGGTTTTCTCCGTTTTTATTTTTTTGTGTCATTTTGTGTTACAGTCATTTTCTGGTAACACAGCAACCAACTGGCGATGAACATACCCGGCCAAAGAATGATGTTAACTAAAAATTTCATGAATCCGTTAGGTCATAAATACAAATGCACACATACATACATGTACAAATATCATTGAGTATTAGAGAGCTGCGCCGCATTAAGATGGTTAAACGACTTCGTCAAAATCATTCAACTGTTAGAAATAATTTAGAAATATCGTATCGAAAATCCCTATATATTATATATGTATAATTTGCATATAGAAGCAAGACGGCAAGCATTTATTTTAAGTGCATTAAAACGATTTTTTTACCATTGGGTGTGAAAATATCAGACAAATCTGCCGTTATGGTCGTCAAAAAATAAGCAAGCACGTGCTTGCTTCCAATTAAGCTTAATCAATGAAAGGTTGGGCGATTATATTTAATTGAGAAGGGGTCTCTTGACCATCTGATTGACCACATGAAGCGTGGTACTGAGTTAGCAGTCGGCCCTGTAAAGATTATTCCGATGCATTCAAAAGGCAACGTCTCTTTATCTATTAGAACAATATAGAGAATAATAAAGATCGAGCAAGTTATTTAGCATACATTTGATGAACACTAAAAGCAATTATTTTTGAAAAATATTAACAAGTTGTAGTAACGAAGCAACTCTCGCAAGGCGTCATTAACTTAAGGGACTCTGCGGCAAGCAGCGTAATTGCTCCCGAATAGAATATAAAAAAACGTAAAAACATCTAATCTACCTGCCTGGCCATAGCTAATGAAATGTGGGCAGATTTTAAAAATATTGATTTTTGTGTGATTGGCGAGAGAAAAATTTCAACTCCTGCTTTCGAATCACTCTCCGCTTCATATCTACTTAACTTAGTCGTCTCGGCGCAGTTTCACTAACGTATTTTTATTTAAAAATGCTTCAAATGAACCTGAACACTTTGTAAAGACCTTTCAGCAGATTAAAAAAGTTATAAAGCGACCGCCATAGTCCATATAACTACCCAGCGGGGACTTATTTGACATCTTTGCGAATCGCTTGGCAAAAAGTTGGAAATGTACAAGAAAAAAATTTCTCGCAGATAATGAAGTCGCTTTCCCAAAGATTCTCCAAAGTTTAAAGCATCCATTGAACTCGTTAAAGTCGTAAATAACATCCCAAAACATTTATGATGACTCTGATTCTTTGAAACTGAGTTTTCATAAAACTTGGATCTAAGCCCTATTCTAAAATCTCGTGGCAAAGAAATATTTTTCTTGAGGCTTAGCAAACAAAGGCAAGTCATCGTGGCAGAAAAGGAACTCTAGCACGGTTCAGCCTTGTGGTGAATGTACAATTGTCAGTCGGTAGTAGAGACATTCGTTACGTAAAGATTGCGGGTCGCATGAATTTTCTAAACTTTCGTCTAATCAGCTCATGAGGGTCTGCAGAATTATTGCTAAACTTTTTTTTTTCTTGTTGGTTACGGAGTAGAGGGCTTGCACAAAAATAAAAGTTGCATCTCCTACCGTATATTTGCTTGTAATTTTAATCTTATTCTATACACAGTTCGATGGTCCGTGCAGCTATTTACATACGGCGCTTGAAATTGCGTTTATTTGATAGCAAGTCTTCATCATCATATAGTTTTATAACTGAAAAGCTATTTATAAACACTTCTTGCTTCTTGAAAAATTTTATTCATTACTACTATTGTTTTGCTATTGCACTTTTGTAATAAAAACGGGGACTATAGGTCGAAATCGAAAATTTTTTACTTGGCATTGCCAAGTTATCTAACGAGAGGGCGGGGAACTTCCCGCATTATTATCTTATATAAAAAAAAGCAAATGATAGGGTCCCTAAATAACAAGTAAGGGACGAAAAGACTGCATACGGGATGCAAGAGATTTCAGTTAGCATGATAGAACACAATGGCGATTCCCATTAGTGAGCAAAGAAAAAATGCCGACCATTACTGGAACAAAATGTATCCTGTCGAAGATTCAAGCAGCTAAAGGATGTGCGGAATTTTATTCGCGAACGTACTGTGCCAACTGAACATTGAGTGAATATATTTATGACCGGCGACGCAGGCCGAAATATCATATGCCCTAGAGAACAAAGATGACAAGACGTTAAAATATTAAGAGGAAAATATGACCTGATGATTTTCCCTATTTGACACTCACATATATAGGCCGCCGTAAGTGTCACATTGTGTTGCTAGTTTCAGTTTCGCTTTCTCACCAAAAGTACAAAACGTTATGCCACGACTTCTGAATTGCGCAGCGCTTAAAAAATAGTATATAACTTTCAAAATGAAGTACGGACAGTACAAACCCTGCAAACAGGAATATTCCATTAAAGAAGGAAGCGTAGGCTTAAGCCTATTGAACCAGGCACGTGGTCAGCATTTCAAAGTTTGGGAAATTATGCAGGAATGGAGGAATAAATTTTGATATCTTACTACCATAAAATAAGTAATAAATTTGTTAAGTTTCTCTAAAAGAAAAAATGAACAGTTTTATAGGTTAAATACATAGTTCTTGTTGTGTTGTGAAAGTTAGCCGTACGTTCGAATGTTCAAATGAAGAATCTTAAGAAGTTGCACTCTAGGAAGTGAAATGTAGCAAAATAAATGCAGTTAATAATTGGCCTGAAATGTTAGTCTCATTTGCTGCTTCTATGTCATCTGAAATTAACAGTAAATATATTTGTGACAATGTTACTTATTCGGGTAAAACGGTGACGGTCAGAAAGAAATGTAGCAAAGAGGAAGAAAGAAAGAAATGGGGGGATGGTGGCCGCAGTATAGTGGATCGAACGATCGGCCGAAAGATTTAAGTGTTTTAACTTTACATGTTGACTACGCACCATAGTT